AGCTCCAAAAGAAGAGTCCATTCCTGTCACTGTCTTTTTCTTTTTCATCCTGTGGTGTCTATTAGGGTTTGATTTTAATGGGTAACAACATTTAATCTCTTTTTATATTGTAATTGTATACATTTAAAGAAGCTCCTTGTAGTAGTTTTTCATATGACTCTTTCAGAGGAGAGCTGTATTATCATCTTTATTTGCTAGTTTTTAAATTAGAGTACAAAGCAATTGATTTTCCCATTTTCATACAATTTTTTGCTATCTATCACTCATAGATAATAATAATAAAGTAAGAAGATGGGTAAGGATAGGAAATGGTGTCATTTGGGGAATAGGAATCTAAGGAGAATAGTAGAGTTTGTATATTTTTATGTCACTTTTGAGCAAAACTATGTGAATGAATTAAGTACTGCTATGAAAAATTACACAAAATATTGGCTGCACCATGGCCATTATTAGCTTGAATGAATGGGATCCACTGTTATTATTTACTTATAAAGACCCAAAATGAATGCAAAAATTGCCTAATGTTTTTACCTGTGATGAGAGTGGCAATTGAAGGGGAAAACAGCCGTTAGGGAGGAGGAACAAATGGGGCAGAATGGGAGAGGCTTCTATGTGAGTGGAAATAGAGCAGATGCCAGGAAACATCTTAGAGACGATCAGGACTCAGATGGTTTCTTTGTCTATGATTCGCTGCCAGTAAAGGAGTGGAAGTCTCAAGGCCATGTACAATTTTTATAAGCCTCACTTTGCCACTAACTTTTACTCCACTCATATCTATGTTTCACAAATTAGAGAGCAAAACACGTACTCCGGAGGTTCTCATTTTGCAGAAGGTTCTTCTGACCACAGCCCTCCACATCTTTACAGAGGAATCAAGGAAAGGTAAGGGTATAGTCCAATGATTTTCAGAGAACTCTTGTGATCATAATTTCTCTGAGTTCACATCTGTGTTCCTGCAACAGGATGCTATATGGGGGTCAGGCGCTTCCCTCAGAGAAAGGCTGGGAATAGGAGTTTTCTTCTAAAATGGAGGACTGTTAGAGTTTGAATTGACTTCTGATACAAATGCATTTTTGTTCCCATTTTTCCAAAACCTGTAAATATATTGTAGAGAAAGTGTCACTTCTCATGTTCATTTAGGTAGGGAGGTGATGCATGTATTGTCTCCCAAAGCTGGGATGCGAAGAAACAGGTTTTATTACTTAGCTTGCATTTCAAAGATACTTTGCATTGTTTAATTATCAATCACCAAAGAAGAAACAGATGGTTCAATTTGGAATAAGAGAAGTTGTAGTTTAGTAGTAGCAGCAGATGACCAGGCAGATGGAGAAGCACTGCCACTGACAACAGGCAGAGATAAAATGGCTCAAGTTCTTCTCCTGCCCTCCAGTGTCCTGTGGTGTCACTGGAAAGCTTAATTAAAACAGAAACAGAGGGGGAAGATCTCTCTAATGTGATTCAGCAAGGCCATTCTTTTGGAATGCTACAGAAGACAGAAAGGGTGTAAGGAAATTATATACAGCACGTCAAACTTATAATGTGCATGGATTCCTTCCAGGTTGGATTTTTGAGGGTCTTCCTTCATTGTCTACGGTGTTTTCTAAGATAAAATATTGTTTGAACATTTCTCATAATTTCCCTATTAGACTTATTCTTGTTTGCATTATATTCCTCCAGTGATAATGTTTATGAAGGAATCACCCACATTAGTCAAAAATGTCTTGAAAATAGAATCAAATTTGAGAAGGGCAAACATTTCTTACTGGCTTTTGTTTTGGAATGGCAACTCTAACACACAATTATATAATACTCTCTTAGCAAGACATTTATTAGACCTGGGCTGGAAGCACCAGAGCATCATACACAAGGACTTTAAATTTACTGTTCTCTAGATATTAGGAGGTGCCACCACCCTGTATGAAACGTGACTGTGAGCTACATCAGCATGCTGGAAAAGAAAGAAACAGGAAGATATGTTCCTGTTGATTCCCACAAAGTGAGAGTTGGGTGTATCTCTGAAGTCTTCCCCCACTGGTCATTGTTTACACACATTTCATCATCAGTAGAGTATGGAAACTGGTATTCATACTCTTCTTTAAAATTCAGAAAATCCCAGGCTCCAGCGGATGAACACACACTGAAGGATGTTTGGGAACACAAGCATAAGTCTATAGGCATATAAATAATATTATTTATCATATGTGGAGAGAGTGGAGAGAGAGTACGGACATTAGTAAGGGGCTGGAGATATAGGAAGGGATCTAAATATGATCGAAATATATTTATGAAATTCCCCAAAATTCAATTAGCTATTAAAACTTTTTAGAAAAATCTCTTTGTTACAGAGAGAAGATTAACTTTGAAGAGATTCTATCAGTCTCTAAAGAAATTGAAGGTCTCTAAAGTTTGGGTTAATATGAAAATTTTTGATGTTTCTCAAGTAAAGAATGATGAAACAGAGGCCAGAGGGAAAGTCTCACTAAGCATCCTGGAACTTCACTTGGTTCTGCAATAGATTATGTGGCTATAATTAAGATGTTTAGTGTGTTAAATCCGGTTTATTACCATGTTAAGTGAGAACATTACAATAGACAGTCTTTCAGGAAAGCATGCTAATTATCAGGGTACAGCAGTGAATTAAGATCACTTATGCATGGCTCAGTCCTCATAGAGTTTCATGTTCAAGTAGGAAGACAAAAGTATCACATCTTAAAATCTTTCAAACTGTGAGGTGACTTGATCAAATAGCAAAAGTTCTGTTTTTCCTCCTGTTTCCTATTCAAGCTCAACTGTGGGATTTTGTCTCTGAAAGAGGTCATGATGGACACATTCCCCACACGCCTCCCTGTACCACACGTGGACATGTCCTAGCAAAAGTTCTGTTTTTCCTCCTGTTTCCTATTCAAGCTCAACTGTGGGAGTTTGTCTCTGAAAGAGGTCATGATGGACACATTCCCCACATGCCTCCCTGTACCACATGTGGACATGTCATTTCTATGTTTGGTCATTGCTCTGGATTCTGAGGCTATGGCTGCTCTCTAAGTACAGCAGGGGAACCCTGGATTCTGTTACCTGTGCTTAACTGATATCACCCATTTCTGTTGCTGTGCTCATTTGATCGGCTTCTCTTTTCTTTTCCTGAAGTTTCCTTGCACCAGATTTTTTCATCCCGAATTTTGACTGGCATCTTGATTTTAACAGTGATGCTGTATCTAAAGGTCTTGCCATCTGTGTAACCAACTGTGGCCAGCTCGGTACACAGTGCTGGCTAGAACTGTTGGACTTGATGTAGGCCTGCTGGATTCAGACCACACTGTGTCAAAGGCAGGGTTAGTCATACACACAGCTAGTGCTCTAATTTCTGAAAGTGGCAAAGCAGTAATTCTCACCTCTGGTTTTTGTACAGATTCAGAGACAATGCACAGTTCACTCTCAAGAACGTGGTATTATTGACCCACATTTTCCTCCCCTGTAAATCTACATGAGCATCTCTACTTATATTCCAAACCCCAAATCTTTTGTATTTCCCCTCACAAACTAGAAAATTTTTCATAATCAGAGAAACTACTGGTGATCTTCTAGAAGAGTGTATGGAGTAACTTCATAGTACATTGGGCTACTATTATTCACTTCACAGGACTCCACATAACAGCGCTCCATTAGCTCTTGCCATATTTCAAGTACCTCTTTTCAGTGTCCTCAGAGAAATGTACTTCCTCATTGCACTGCTCAACAGTCAGCTAAGACATAAAGCCTTTCCTCGGGCTGTATACAAAATGTTCCTAGTAATCAGCAAAGATCTATTGGACCTCTACTTCAAAGGACTGTCACTGATCAACACCAGTTATTTGGGCACACACAAGTAATTTCAAAAATACTCAGAGTGGTCTATAAAGTGAGTTAAATAAAAATTTCTCCATCACATTGTGTCTGTTATATTGTCTTCTATTATAACTGCATTTTTATTTCTATTTAACCCAGATTATCTACACTGTAGGCCTGCACTTTATTCATTGAATGAATAATGAGAATGTCAAGACCTCATACACTCTAAACAGCATATTTAAAAAGTTACTATCTTCAGTGTCTGTCTCCTGAATTCCCTCTGAGTCTCCTGCACTATCAAGTGAACCATATAACATAACATATAACATATCTTTATGTGCGTTTATTAATTTACAAAGGAATGAGTACCCAGTACCTAGGCCTGTGCTGCTGCTCAGAGCCTGCCATATCAGACCATGCCACGTCCACAGCCACCGCTAGCATTCGCTCATGCCTCTGGGGCCAGTGATCTCATCCCAGGTCCACAAGAGTCAGTCCATTCTGTCCTTGAGCTGCTGTGGCTGTCTGCGCGTTCCCCATACCACGCGTGCAGCTCACGGCTTCCATCCCAAGATGGCTCCCAGAAGTCCCTCCGTAGTCCATGCTCCATGGCAGGCCCTGCCCCTTGGAGGAACTAGCCAACTGGGAGACAGTGTCTGATAAGAATAAATATTTCTGGACACATCTATGCCCAGAACTATCTGAGAAAGAGCACCCATTCCAAAGAAGCATGCATAGTTTCTGTCCTTGGGTGGAATCTCCTAAGCACTCATGATCACATACATCTGTTTTTCAATTACTACACATGAAAGAAAATTTCTGAGTGGCTCAGCACATAGTAGGGCAGACTGTTTATTTCTAGCCCACCAAATGGGCTGTTTGAATCATTGCATATTTCATGTCATTAAGAGGAACAGGTGTTCAGGGTAGACATTTCTGGATCTATGGAGAAAGGAGGATGGGATCTGAAGTTGTATTCCAGGAGTCCACAGCTCTTACTAGGTTCCTCAACCTCTACAATTCCCTGTTTTATGTGTCTTTGAAAAGCAAACAATAATTTCTACAATACAGATTGATAGTGAGAATCAGAGTCATAAAGCAGTTGCTTAAGATTTATTTGTGTTTCCAGGACCATCATCAGGAGGTTATTGAGCCCAGTCTTGAGAACAGAAGTCATGGAGACAGATGAATATCATCAAGGCTTTTTGAAGGGCTGTGACTTGGAGACGATGCTGATCGGGCTGAACTCCTTCACTGCTGTAGTTGGGGTGGCAGGAAATGCAGTTGTGCTTCGGCTCCTGGGATTCCACATTCCCAGGAATGCTATGTCAGCCTACATCTTTAACTTGGCGGTAGTTGACTTCATCATCCTCTGCTTCCACTGTCTTCACTTACTGAATGGAAATGCCTCATTCCATTTATCTGACTTGTTTCTCTTAAAATCTTTAATCTTAGCAATAACCATTTCCTATATGCTACGCATGGGCATACTCAGCGCCATTAACTTGGAGCACTGCCTGTCTATCCTGTGTCCCATCTGGTACCGCTGCCAAAGGCCAAAATACACATCATGCATCACATGTTTGCTCATCTGGGCCATGACCATGGCATTGAGCATTCTGCAGTGGCACATCTGTAGCATGATACATGAACCAAATGCATATGATACTTGTCATTTACATGGTTTTTCCATTACAATATTCGTGATTGTTTTATTTGCGATTCTCGTTGGGTCCTTTGTGGTCCTGCAGGTTGTAATATTTTGTGGTTCAGATCAAGTGAGAGTAACCAGGCTGTATGTGACCATCTTGCTCACAGTGCTGGTCTTCTTCTTGTGTGGTATGCCCTTTTATATCCACCAGTTCCTATTACTCTGGATTCCAGTTGATAACAAATACCACTGTTATTATCTTCAGCTTTTTGTTGTCCTGTCCTGTATTAACAGCTCTGCCAATCCTATCATTTACTTCTTCATTGGCCTCTTTAGGCAGCAGCCAAAGAATCAGAGCCTCAAGTTGGTTCTTCAGAGGGCTCTGCAGGACACCCCTGAGGAGATTGGGCAAAGAGGTAGCCTTCATCAGGAGACCCTGGAAATGTCAGGCATCAGAGTAGAGCAGGGATGAGGAGCCTGTGCCTGAGCACTGCCCACCAACCTTGACAGCTTCTGCTCTTCTCTCAGCCTCATGCCTTCATAGGGCTTTAACTTACACTTTTTTCCTTATAGTTTAATCTATGAAAACATTAGAATTAAATCTCCAGCTTCAATAAATTAATATTTCCAAGCCTCTACTTGCCTTCCCTATAACATAGGGAGAAAATTTAGATGTATCAATACAGTCCTTAGAAACAGTGACTGAGCATCAGCGAAATCACAACTATGCAAGGAGATGTGGAAAGACACAGGGACATATCCCTTGTCAGAGTCACGTGATCATGCTTTGGCTCCTGGGTTCCCTAGGAGCTGGAATCTTCTCCATTTAGAAACACAGTAAAATTGTTGTGATTTATCTTTTCCATTGCTGCTGTGTTACAGACACACCATGAAAGTTCATCACCGTTTTCCACTCTGTTTACATCTATATCCCCATGTTCCTGGCTTAACAAAGTGATTATTGATTAAGCATTTTAATAAATACATTAACTTCGCCAAACTTATGCTAAATCTACATTTACCAGAGTCATTTATTGCTTTCGGCATTTAAAAAACTTTATTGCATATGAATTTGTGGTTTATAACCAGGCAGACATCTATTCATTTTTAATGTTTGTCATAGGCTGCATTCCTATGGTTTCCATTCTCATATTTTCCATTAAAATCTGAAATATATTTCTTTCCACTCCTAACTCTGTACTCTCTGTGATTGCTCTAGTTCCCAATGGAATCTTCATTGAAAACAGCAATAGCAAAACCAGATATATTATTTTATAAACATATAATGTAAAGTTAATTTAATAAAATAATTAAATGCTGTGACATTTCTAGAATAAATGATTATTTTAATATGCATCTACCCAGGAACAGAGACTGGTAAAACTAATTGAAGACTCCATTAGGAAACAGAGACATCCCAGAGAGTACAGTGTAGGGGGTGGAAAGAAACATATTATAATTTGGACCCCACCACCCCTCATAGTTTTTCCTCCTATTCCCCAGAGGAGACCACTGCTGTTATTTTTATCATCAAGTATTAGGTCATCTGACTTTTTACTTCATATACTAAAAATCATACGTACACATCATAATTGAATTTCTTTTTTATTGGTATATAAAAATGTAGAAATTTGACGTATTGTGTGTCATGTGGTGTTTTCATGTGTATATGTGTAAAATTACATATAATAAACATATCTATCTCCTGAAACATTCATGTGTAATTTTTATTCGGTGCATCTTTCAGTTTAATATTTTTCAGATTTATCAAAGTCACAGTGTTACTTATAACTATGTTTATTAAACTGAGTACTATGTATGTATACAGGAGTGCCACAGTTTAAAAGTTCATATTGTAGATTTTTGTGCCTTCTTCATTTTCTGACTATTACAATCCACACTGCTGTGAACATTATTATTTAAGACTCTTTACAGTTTTAGTAAAGAATCTAGGGTGAAAATGCTGTTACACAGGAAAATAAATACTTTGTATGAAGTTTCCCATCTATTTACTAACATGATTGCATCATTTTATTTTCTGAAATGAATTATATTAAAGAAAGAAATCCAATGTTGTGCCTATCAGGGGGTGTCAGGGAGGGAGCCTAAATATAATTAAGATATATTGTATGAAATGTACAAAAACTCAATAAACATACATAAAAAGAATTTCATCTGCTTCTCATGTACCAAAGATATATGGTCTTGCTGGTCTTATAAATATTTTCATTATTTCTCATATTTTCGTGGATGAACACTATACATTTAGATGATATCCCAGAACCTCCCTCCACATTCCATTCCCCTTTCCACTTCTCTCCCTCTCCCTCGGTCTCATCCTCTTCCTCCCTTCTCCCTTCTTTCTCTTCCTCCTTCTCCTTCCATTCCTCTTCCCCTTTCCTCCTCCTCAGTTATTAATGTTATAATCAAGTGCAGTTACTGCTGACATATGTTAAAGGTTTAGGGGTCATCCACTGGAGCATGGAAAGCCTATAATGGGCACATGACTGAAGAATACAACCTCTTCCTTTCCCACGGGTCATGAACTGCAATAGTGTCTCAGCTCAGGATAAGCTTCATGAGCCCATTCCCTCTCCAAGCTAGAGCGTTCGCTAGCTTGATACTTTGCAGGTCTTGTGTCTGTAGCCAACACTGCTGTGAGTTCATGAGTGCAATGTGCCTGCCATGTCGGAAGACATCATTCTGCAGCAATCACCCTCATCCTCTACATCTTGCAATCTTTCTGCCCCGCTTCGGTGATAAACGGTGTGTAATACTGATACACATCTGTTTGTTGTTATGCACTCCTCAGTCACTTGATCTCTTCACTCTGAACATATGAAAGTCTTTCTATTAACTGTCATCCACTATACAAAGAAGTTTGCTGAAAGCTGGGAGCGTCACTAATCTGTGTGTAGAACTATAAGGATTAAAAGGCAGTTCGATACAGTTCCTTTAGCAAAATAATAATAGTAAGGCCAAAAGACCTCCCCTGCCGCAGGTTACTGGCCAAGTTTTATGTACCAAGCATGAATTCCCTCCTGTAGAGTGGCCTTAAGTCTAATAATAAAGTTGTTAGTCTTCCCCCCATTACACCAATAGGCAAAGAATGCCAGGCTGTTCATCACTGTAGTTCACAAGGTCCACATCAGAGTAAAACTAAAACTGATGATAGCTTTTCTCCTCCAGAGTCCTGCAAATCATCTCCCTTTCCCAATGGCTACTTCAGGTTTCCTAATATCTACAGCTGCTCTATAAGTGCAGAACACAATTACAAAGGTTCAAAACTAGGATCTGCATGTGAGAGAGGACACATGGAATTTGCTTTTCTGAGTTTGAGCTACCTAACTCAGTACATTTTTTCCAGTCCCATCCATTTATCTGCAAAAAATATGATTTACATTTTAAAATTTATTTTTAATTTCAATTTTTGTGATTTGCATAGAATACAGTTTGATGGTATTTATATACCCTCCCCTCTTCAGACCCCCCTCACTACCCCTACACAACTTATGAACTCTTATATAGACAACATGGTCTATAGAGTATGATTTATGTCCCCAAATGTCTTTCAGTGTGGGTTAATCCACTGGATCTGCCAAAAATCCAAACCCTTTAAGACATTCTCTCCCTCTCCCAGAAGTCATCAATTCCCAAAAGCTCCTTAGGTTGGGTAGGGATTTCTTCCCCACTTCCCAATGTCTATCGTGGAATTCCATCTGGTTTGAGCTTGCAAAGGACTTTTGCATGCTGTCACCATTGCTGTGAGTTCATATGAGTAACTGATCAGAGGTTACTCTTGGGAGGCAGAGGTTTGAAATAGCTATCTTATTCAGGGGTAAGCACTCTGTGACATTTTGTTCTCTACACACTGGCCAATTGTGTGTCATAGTGTTAGTCACCATCTGCTGTATAAGGAAACTCCTCTGGTAAGAGTTGAGAGATGCATTCATCCTATGTGTAGAGGTTGCAGTGAAGACATGTCACTTGGGGTTAAGCATCTCACAAACACTTATTTCACAGACACTTACCCTTTGAGTTTGACCGGTTCTGGAATTATGTAATAGTCTCCATCTGTTGCAAAAGGAAGCTTCGTTGATGGGTGGTGAGAGGCAAACTTGTCTAATACGAGGATGCATCTTTAGAGTACTTTTGCATTTACCCAACAGACTCATCCTACTACAGAGATACTTGGGCAGCTACATTTGTTGCTGTTCTTCCCAAAATAAATAAGCAATGAAAACAACAGAAATATCCCTCAACTGATGAATGTATAATGGAAATGTCCTATATTTACACAATGGAGTTCTACACAGCAAAAAAGAAAGACAAAATCATGAAATCTGTAGGTAAATGGGTGAAACTAGAAACACACTAAGTGAAGTAATACAGACTCAGGAAAACAAGCAACATGTTCTCTCTCATTTGTGTATCTTAGCACCAAATCCTCAGACATCAGTATACATCCTGATGTAAATGTAGGAGCCAGGAAAATGGAAAAGAACCATGGGGATAAAGGGGAAGAAGGAGCTGGAGAGAGGCGGATAGTAGGAGACAGCTGTTATTAAGGGAGAAATGTGCAAACAGGTTGTACTTTAACTGGTGAGAAATAGGGAAAGCTATTCAGGAGGAGTTGGAGGAGAGAGAGACATAATGTTTGGATAGTGTGAAAAACCAGAGGTAAATGTATTAAATCAAAGTCCCACTGAAAAATGCGCATAAAATAAATATACAAGTGCATGTATATAGTTAAAGGTTATATTACACAAAACACAGTGCCAAGCAGGAGAAAAACCCCTCTGGGCTGTTGGTCAGGGCAGTCCAAGAGACTCCCTAGAGAGCACAGACTTTTAGCTTAATGATTGTGAAGTATGTTCTTGTGTTTTAACTTTCATTTTTCTAATAGACTTGAAATTTAGTACATTTTCATGTGTTTAGTGATTACTTATAACTTTTGTATTGAATAGTGAACCTCATACAACATCCTCATCTTACTACCCCCCTTCTCTACTTCAAATCCTCTATTATTATGTGTCTCGACTAAGGTCTTTGGAGTGTAATCTGCATTTTCAAAATGCTTCCTGGCTGTGGGTCTATGCCTTGATGTCTGGGAAATGTACCAGGCATTACACCAGTAAGGATTCTTTCTCCCTTGTCATCTATCAACTTACAACAGATCCTCAGCTAAGGCTGGGGCTTTCTACCCAACTTTCCCATCCATAGTAGGCTTTTGTCTGACTTGGTTTGCACCGGTCTTCTGCATGCTGCAATTAATGCTATGGAACACCCCAAGGTGTCTAGACAACAATGCAGTTTCCTTGAATTCATATTCTGTATCTGGCTCTTACAATATTTCTGCCTCCTCTTCCACAATGATCTCTGAGCCTTGGGAGGGGAGGAGTTGATATAGATATCCCATTTAGGGCTAAGAACTCCACAGTTCCTTATTCTCATTAAGCAGTTGTGGGTTTC